GGGAGAGGGTTGTAAACAATATGCATAGCATAATCTCAGTTTCATTCAAAGAAATATTTTTTAAAATATAGATATAACTAAATATATGAAACAACAATATATATTTTCTATGGATAAAAATGAAAACATGGGTTTTCTCTCTTGTGTGGGATTTGAGTGAAGTCACTTTCGGTGTTCTATAACTTTGTCATATCTGACTCCTCTACACTAGCACTCTCTGATCGAAATACAATTGGAGATCATACATGTCATTAAAAATATTCTAACTGGTAATAGGAAAAGAATAGGTAATTTTTATTTCTAACACATTTTATGTTGTCCAATATACCCAAACTTGATCATTTTTATATGTAAGAAACAGAAAATGATCATCAATGTGCTATGTTACATCCTTTTCTTCACACGAAGTTGAAATTGGCTCCATGGCAGTAAGAAAATGGGAGAAGCCTTCAAAATCGGGGGAGTGTTTCCGCCACTCCGCCACATCGCCACTGGGATAGCCACTGTGCAGGGACTCAGCAGGCACATGTGGGCTGCGGTTGCCACGTGGCACAGTGCAGCTCTATGTTAATGATGATTACCCCTGCCAATCAGAAAAGGGTCCATTTTAATTAGCATTGCATTTGCTTTCAGTAATTTTTTCTGGTAACCTTGAAGAAACATGTAACAGTGTGTGGCATGGTTGGAGCAACGTGGTACTGAAGGCAGGGGTCCAGGTTCTGGCACGAACCAGATGGCTGGGTGACCCTAACTAGCACATATAATCCCTCTTGGGTTCTGTTTCCTCCCCTGCACGCCCTTTGGATGTTAACATCTTCACAGAATATAAGGGACAGCTCTTCGTCTATGAAAGCCATGCAAAAAGAAAGTCTGAGTATCACAAGAACACTGGCTGCTTTGAAGAGGGGCGCTGCCTGCACTTGTGTCTATATATATCACTGCACAATCATGTTTACCTACTTGGATTGTTCAAACAGAACATACCAGACCACACAGATACCAAAATAGCACTTGCTCTTCATTCATTTCCTTTCAGTTTCCTCCTGCTGACTTAGCTCATTATATGTATAACAACATATAATTACTGAGATAAGCTGAGTGTTTCCTAATTCTTTCCCACTGACCTTATTATATACGATCTGAACATTACAGCAGTAATCAATCAAGGTGTTAAGAAATAAAAAATACTAAGGTTTACAATTTCATATCTTAACCCCTGGCGATAGATTTTTTTTCAGAATTCATAACTGTGGAATTTCAGAAAAGTGAAGAGTTTTGATCATGTGTCTAGTATACAAGGGTACATCAAATATTGCTACAAAATGGCAGAAACTTAATATTTTACATACCAAAATATGAAGCTACTGCTTCTCAAAACATCCTGTGCCTCGGTCTATACACTTCTGAAGGCAACATTCCCATCTCTCTAACCTTCCCAGAAGAATCCCTCGTCTTTGATTTACACCACCTCAAAAATGGCAGCTTTGCCATTTTCAAGGGACTCAAATCATGTTCCTTCTCAATGTTCTCTGAGCTTGAGAAACAAAAATCAGTCGGAAGGAGCTGCAGGGTGGATGGGGTAAAGGTTCCCCGAGGAAATGTTCACAAGGCAGCCCTTGCTCCCTGTCCTCCAGTGGGGGACAGCCACATTGTCGGCGGAGGAAAAGCCCGCGGAACGGCTTCCTGACCTTTCCTCTGAAAGCACTCTCACATGTGCTTAAAACTCTTCCAAATAAGTCCCCATCATCAGACGGTGTCCTTTAAGAAAACCTGTCAAGGTTTCCCCCAATGAATCCCAACCAATTGTCCTTAGAAGCTTCTCAGCTGACCCATTTCCCTTGAATTTAACTGGCCCAGAAAATTCTCTTGGAAGCCCTATTTTGATTAGATCTTTTTTTTTTTTAAGACAGCCTAACTAAACTAAGACAATTGTATTAATGAGAGAACATGTCTGCAGTCAATCACAGATGGAGGAGGCATGTTTAAACACGTTTTGTTTGTAGTTTGTAATAATCTAATGCCCTAGTGAGGTATGTACCCATGAATCACACACTTGTATCAAAATGTGTGAACAAACTTTGTATGACACTATGTTGAAATGCTTTTGCTTTCAAAACTTTCTGTATTTTGGAATCACAGATCTGGGGCCACAGACTTGTATTAGGCGCCAGCCCATTCTCTAATGGATCACAACAAAATGACTGGGCTACAGTGTAGAGGATGTGGTTCCATGAATCCCCTGCAGAGGAGTATGTTCCTGAGAGAGGGTGGAAAATGCTCTTGATGCCCAGAGGTGCCATCACCACGGGGACTGTTTAGGTCTGCTCCGAATGACCTCAGAGAACCCCGGAATGACCTCAGAGAACGTTGGTACAATGTCTACACTAGATGAGGAGTAAATTTACATGGCAAAATGTTGTGATTGCTCATTTTATGTTTTGCTTTTTTTCTCCACTAAACTTAGTATTAGCTAATACTACAGTTGATTGTACACATAGGAGCATCCTGTTTCTTAGACTCCCCATATCTGATTTTTCTAGCCCCTCGATGGGACACAAGGAGTTCTGGTGGTGCAATGGTTATGTGATGGCTTGTGATCCACAAGGTCAGTAGTTGGAAGCCACCAGTTCCTCCTTGGGAGAAAGCCTGGGCTCTCTACTTCTGTAAAGAGCTGTAGTCTTGGAATTCCATAGGGGGCAGGTTATAAGTTGGCATCGACTCGCTGGCAGTGAGTTTGGCTGTTTGGTTTGGGTAGGGTGCACAGTTAAGTGCTTGACTACTAACCTAAAGGGTGTCGGTTGGAATACACCCAAAGGCACCTCAGGAGGCAAGTCTGGTGATCTGCTTCTGCAAGGTCACAGCCTTGACCACTCCATGGGGCAGTGCTACTCTGCACACACAGGGGCCATGCGTCGAATGGACTTGACAGCCATTAGCAATACGGCCTCTAGAGCCAGATGCTCTGGGTAGGGTAGCCTTGCTTGTGCTTTAATCTTTTGGGAGTAAGAAAGCCTATTTTTAGACGTGTTGGGGTGTTCACATAAGCTACTTACATGCAAAGTGCATAGAGAGCTGTGTCTGGTCGGTGGAAAGCACTCCAAAGAATGAACAGTTGTTAATGTTACTGTTGGCAATTATTTCCACATCGGTGGCTCTCAACTGGGGGCAATTTTGCTTGCCAGGAAACCTTTGGCAATGCCTGCGGACAGTTGTGTTTGTTACAACTGACATCTCTGGGGCAAACACAAAGTACGCTGAGAAGCACCCACCACAAAGTATGATCCGACCCGGACTGTGAGCAGTGCCGAGGGGGAGTACTGCTGCATTAGGCTGGCTCTCTGCATCTGACTGCCCATTGGGCTTCCAAGGCTACAATCTTTTCAGAAGCAGAGTGTCCCACTGACGGTCCATGAAGTAGAACCACGGCGTTAACAGCCCAGCACTTAACCTCTAAGCCAGCAGGGCTCCTGCTACCCCACTATATAGATGAGGAAATGTTAAGTCAAAGAAGTTAACTCATTTTTTCCAGTTAAAGCTGGGATGAGAAAGTTCACATTTTTAGTGAGCGTCTCCTTTGTGGATACCACAAAATGAACATTTTCCCAAATGAAAGAATTATAAAGGTCACCCCAAATACCACTCTCCAAATTAAAAAAACCCACTGCCACCCAGCTGGCCTATACAGGATTTCTGAGGCTGTAACTCTCTATGGTATTAGACAGCCTTGTCTTTCTCCTGAGGAGTGGCTGGTGGATTTGAATCACTGACTTGGTGGTTAGAGTACAATGTTTACCTGACAAGGACAAGGCTCCTTTCTACAAAAACAAGCTAAGTAAAAAAGTGTATTCTAGATTTAATTATAGTTCACTGACAGGACAGCAAGAGTCAGGGGTTGCTAGACTAGGGCCTGAGAGTCCAACCTAGCTAACTACTTTTCTGTAAATAAAGTTTTAAGCAGGGCTATATTCAATTGTTTATGTATTGTCTATAGTTGTTTTTGACCTAGACAGCAAAGTTGAATAGTTGCAACAGAGACTATGTGGTCTGAAAAACCTAAAATATTTACTATCCGATGCTCCTAAGGAAAGAATATGCCAATCCTTACTCTGGAAGAAACCATTTCAATTATTCTTCCTTATTAACAACATACGTGACTAAAAATGGCTGTGTGTGTAGATAAGGTACTTTATCTTGTTAATGTCAAGGAAAACAAAATGTTTAGTAGTGTGACTGCATATATCGTAGTTACCTGTATTCTGCCTTCAAATATTGGGTACCTCGTTCCAAACATGTTATTAAATCTGTCACAAATAAAGATAATTGGAATTAGAAGATTAAATGGAAGTGAGAATCCCTCAACCACTAAAGGTTTCCTTTTTACTAAAAAAGACAGTTTTTAGAAAACATTCATTCAGGACCTGTTGTTGAATATTCCTATTTAAAAATAAATTTAAAAACAACTGAGAACAGAGCCTCTCATTTGTAACCAGTTATATCTCTTTTGTACCAGCAAAGAGGTGTTTTCAGTGTTGATCCAGTGAATGAAAACAGAATCGATTTCCAACAGAAAACCGAACACTGGTTCAGTGACTGTATCTGCTACATGTCTACATGGGTGGTTTGTAGAGCCTCCACTGGAGGAAAATAACTTCAAAAACCAAATGTAGTTCATAGGGAAGGTTCCGGAAACATTTTTAACAATTTAGCCAGGGGCATCTGAGTTACCAAAGAAACAGGTTTTTACCAAGGCCACCAACAGTATATTGGCTTTGATTAATCAGTAGGTAGTGGGTACCTGTCGGGCTGCGAACCACAGGGTCAGCAGTTTGAACCCACCCCGAGCTGCTCCACGGAGGGAAGAGGTTTTCCATTCCTGTAGAGACTTATAACCTTGTAAACCAACAGGGGCAGCTGGACTCTCTCCTATAAACTCACTGCACATCAGAACTGACCCCATGGCAGTGAGTTTGAGGGTTTGACAAAACAAACAAACAAACGAGAAACACACACACACACACACACACACACACACACACACACACACACACACACACACAC